GACGCCAGGATCGTTTGAACATCTGTGGGCAGGCGCTCCAGGAACATCTCCTTGACAAATTTATCATCAACTTGCATGTCTCCAAGGAGACAACGCATCCGACGTAGAAGCTCTGAGGGCTTCCGGTCACCCAGTGACTCCTCCTTAATTAACTGGTGATACCTCTGTCGGTCAGACACAGAATTAAGTCGGAGGATTTCTGCCTTTAACGCGGAGTAGGGAGCATCTGCAGGAGGATTAGCTAGCAAGGACTGAACTTGAGAGATGACACTAGCGGGGAGGACCTCCATGAATTTGTGGTATTTTGCTAGCTCCTTGGTAACGTTGGCAGAATAAAAGGCTGATTCTATGCGGATGAAGTAAAGTTCTGGAGCGTGTTGCCAGAATTCAGGCAAAGTAAAATTGATTGCATGAAGGGACTGGGCGGGGGCATCAAGTTTTTGATCGGAGTGAGACATAATAAGACATAGATGTCAAAATATCAGAATTCGTGAGGAAAGTAAATGTAAATGGAATAGATATTCACAAGCAAATAGTACGTTAAATGTTATCCAGTATGACAGAAAGCTATAAAGTCTGCGTAAACGTCGGGAGTCACCAATGTCGTAAATCGTAATGTTCTCACGAACTAACGAGTTATATCTCACGAGCCCCTAGCCTTAAATGCATCAAGTAAGTCGGAGCAGTGAATAATATAGAGGTTTTTGAACGTTAAGTAAACTGACAACAGAATACCACAGCAGAGCACGCTAGCACGGCGGGTTGTACAGGTGTGTCGTTTCTCGTCACATTCAAACAAGCAATGCGGTCAAAGGAAATGGGACTAAATTGTCAAAGGTAAATTAGTCAGGTACCTCACCACAGGAGAACCACTTGCTCTCTGGGTTCCAGCACAGCTTCAGACGGAACCGTTCTGCCTTTTAAATTTTTTGCTCTCAACCGAGCAGTGAAATCGCACACTGGACGCGGATAGTATGGTCGATGTCCTCTACGCAGATTTCAAGGATTTCGACAGTGCCCCAAACAAACGCCTAATCTATAAACTAAAGTTGGAGAGAAAATCTGTCGAAATGGATCTGAGATTTGCTTACAGGGAGATCACAAACCGAGTGCGTTGATGCTTCGGAGTCAAGCCCTACTGGCAGTCTAAGTGGTGTCTCCCAGGTCTCAGTCTTAGGGCTGTTTCTATTTAAATCAAGGACTGTGTCGACGAGCTGGGATGTAGCACCCATATGTATGCTGACGATGTTAAACTATGGAAATCAACCAGATCTGACGCAGACAGGCAGGCGCTACGAGAGAGTCTTAACCGATTTAGCAGTTGATCAGCTCGTTGACGGCAAAATCTTGATGTAGGCAAATGTGCGGTC